CACACACACACCCACACCCACACTCACACCCACACCCACACCCACACTCACACCCACACCTACACCCACACTCACACCCCGATTTATTCTAGAGCGCTGATTCGACCAATTTGCCATATCTACGTGAGGACGTTTTCTGAAAATAATATATAATGCTACGCAAAAATCATCCAGTGATGAGATACTTTTATTACCATAAAAATATAGCCCATCGTCGGTAGTATTTATGGTAAAAAAATCTCAGTGATATCTCTTGTTCTTCTCGAAATAATAGAGATCTACTGGAAAGTATTGCACTATAAAGTACTCCAAATGGGACCCACCCTATCATACTTGTATCGTCTATATCTCCAAAATAGCTCATCCGTTTGAGCTGAAATTTTCAGTTTCTTTCTAAGACGCTTAGACCTACCTGATGTAAAAATATCAGCCAAATCGGTGAGATCGATTGAGCAACGTTGGTCGTGGCTTACGTGAAATGCCTCTTAGTGTGACTGTCACGGTCTGTTATGGGTAATTAGTTAATTAAAATTAATTAATTAATTAATTAATTAGTTAATTAGTCAAAATGTCTGTCACGGTCTGTGGGGGCGGGGGGTGGGTCCAAATTTCTACCCATAAACACTTCAACACTCCTTTCAGATCGTGTTTCACAAAATTAGTGAGGCAAAATGTAATGTGAAAGATTATTCAAAAGTTTAGAAAAATTAGATGTGTCATTTATTTTTGTCTCAATACATAAGTAGATGATTTTTTTATCATTGGTATTTGTTACTTCTTCTTTCTTACTCTTGATGCCATATTTGATTTAATATTTTCTCTTCGGATAATACTAAGTTAAAATAGAATTATATGATCAACTATAATCGTTGATATTCTATGAATTAGATTGAATCTACAATTATGAAGTTTTGGGTTCTATAATCCATTGTCAAAAGATTTATTCTTTTTTTTTAAATATAAATTGATAAGAATAGATTTTATATATGATTATATGGGTGAAATCAGCAAAAACGGGACATTCACCCGTTGTATTGGAATACAATTCTCTGTCAGTATAGGTGTTTTGAGTGACTTGTTTTTGCATAGACTTATGTAAAATTGTCTGCTCTTTCATATGATTATTAATTACTTAATTGAGAAGTAATTAACGAATATCTCGAGAACCGAATGAGAAATAAACATGAAAACTTCACGATTGTCTCTAGGGTATGAGCTGCATATATGGTAAAATTTTCATTGAGATCGGACTTCAAAAAGTTCCTTCCAAAAAATCGACCTTTCAGAGCCCTTAGACAGACCGGAAATGAAAACGTTTGTCTTAGTATTGTTCTAGGACCTCCTACTATTAATATGAGTCCCTTGGAATCAATTTCGGAGTTTTCAGTTCGTTACCAGAGTATTTGATCGGTAGTGCAGTCATATCAGTCACGTCGCTAACGCCAAATAGATTTTATTTTTTGAACAACCTAGACATGCTCAAAATAATTTTACACTGGGATCTGGTGGCCTTAGGAGTGGTGTCTAATATAGCGTATTAAGTTTTTGGCAATTGTGCAACACTAGAAATATTTTAAAAACCAAAGTATATCAAGTGACTTTTGATGTCCTTCTTGGTATCATGTGGCTAAAGCTAGTTTTTCGTTAATAACTCCTCTGAGCAAAGCTCTACAGCGTTGTGTTTTTCACAGTATCTAGAGTAAATAGAGACTCGTACAACATTCAAAAATCCCACCCAAACCAGTTGATACTGCCGAGATATGCATACTCCAAGTTTGCGATGTCACGTCGCTAATGAATGATTTTTACCCATATCTTCTATATTAATTTTGAAAAATCGCATCAATCTTCAAGATTTAATAATACAATGATCGAAAGAATTGAAGACCAACATAAACACTTTTTTTGTACATACATAAGGTAGCAATCATAAATATCATAGAAAAAAGTTCAAAACATGTTAAACTAGCTTCTCAAAATTTTATATTTCGTTCCGAGAAAATTCTACATAATTGATAACTATAGTAATTAGTTAATTGATGCAAGAAAGCATGTCATATTTAGTGATGAATACATGTTTTACGTCATACATACGTGAAAATGATGCTAAAAACAAGTAACACTCGTCTGTGCGACTCGCTTAACCCTCGACTGAATGTTACAGATTAGTCGTTTATCGACACTTCTCTCAAACTTTGCTCATAGTCACTTGATATTTTATTGCAGAACATCAAAACAATCATCGATTATTCTGCATTTCTCTTACGCGCTATAAGTTATCTTTGAAGATTCTTTTAGTATTACTTCTCTCGATAGAGAAAACTACGATTTTTTCAGACAAAGAACTATTTCAGTTTTTGACGAAATCTCACTTCAGATTTGGATTTCACGACCCCGATTTATTTTCGTCAACCTTTATAGAAAATTTTCTGAAGTGGAAGTTTTTTTGACCCCGATGCAAATACACAAACTATTTTTTTTTCATATGACCCTCCCTACAATCGAGGGAATATATGAAGTAGTATTAAAAAGATTGTATATTCTTTTTTACATAATTCATTGGAATCATGAAATCATCGTTAGTTATTGTAAATATCACTCTTTTATTGAAACTAACGTGTTGCCATAAAAAGAAGTGAAGAAAAATGAAATTATCAATGAATATCCTTAAGATAATTATACTTGAAAAGCTCGTGATATTCTAGTAGACAATTTGAACTATTTTCATATTATTAGTCTTTTATTCTTTTTCATAAACGAGAATATTTAGAAAAAAATCTCTTCAAATACTCCTTATTTATGCCTGTATACATTCATTTGTTTAAGTTTATTTATTGACAAGTATTAAGAAAAATAAATATGCTATTAGAGTCTCTATTAATGACGGCTAGATCTATTTTTCCGTCTTCATTAAAGTCATTTGATATTGCAGAACATGGCCAATTACCTGTTGGATATATCTTTTGAGATTCTAAAGTCATATTACTAGTGCCAAATAATAACTCGACAATAGTCGATCTTTTATCCACCACAGCTATATCCATAATCATATCACGATTAAAGTCACCAGGTAATAAAGTACATGGTCCTTTATTTGTTTTATATTTTATTTGATTTTGAAAAGTTCCATTTGTATTGCCAAAAAGAACACTAATAGTATTTTCACCTTCATTGGCTACGATTAAATCCATTAAATTGTCATTATTTAAATCAATTGATATGATTGAACATGGATTAGTTCCACTTTTGTACATTATTTGAGATTCGAAGGTTCCATCTCCATTACCAAATAAGATACTAATGTTTTTTCCATCATAATTAGCTACGGCCAAATCCATTTTTTTATCATGGTTAAAATCATATGATACTATTGAGATGGGTCTTTTACCTACATCATATGTAGTCGAATTCTGGAAAGATCCATGTCCATCTCCGATGAATATGCTGAGATTATTGTCATCCTGATTGACTAAGATCAAATCTAGATTGTTATCATTATTTAAATCAGTTGATATAATAGAAGTTGGATTAATTCCAGTAGCATATGACATTGATATTTGAAATATTTTATAGGTATCACCAAGTAGTATACTAACAGTATTATCAGTATTTGTTACTGCCAAATCTAATTTATTGTCATTATTAAAATCACCTGATGCTATTGAACTTGATGTTTTCTTAAGTAGATAAGGTACTCTAGCCTGAAATGTTCCATCATCATTACCCAGTATTAACATTATGGTACCATCAGCCTCATTAATTACTGCCAAATCTGCTTTATTATCATTATTAAAATCATTTGATATCATATTCCTTGGCTTCTTACCAGTTGCATATCTAATTTGAGATTCAAATTGTCCACTATTGTTATTTATCAATATGCTAATTGTGTTTTCATCATAATTAGTTACTGCTAAATCCATTCTATAATCTTTATTAAAATCTGCTGCTATAACCGCACTTGGAGTAGCACCAGTTGCATAAGTTTGTCGTTGATGAAAACTTCCATTACCATTATTAAAGAGTACACTAACAGTATTATCTCTCCAATTAGCCACCACTAAATCTTCTTGACCATCATTATTAAAATCGCTGGCAATAATGCTATTAGGACCATTTCCAGCCTCAAAAGTTACTTGAAATCCAAAAGTACCTTCGTCATTGCCATATAATACACTGATAGTAGTACCACCATAGTTTGCTACTGCTAAATCAAGTATTGTATCATTATTAAAATCATGTGCTATTACAGAGTCTGGACTCTCGCCTACGGCATATCTTAAATAACTGCCAAAGACTCCATTACCATTTCCAAAGAATACACTAATTGTGTTTTCACCTTGATTAACTACTACGAAATCAAGATTGTTATCTTTATTGAAATCGTCAGATATTACTGAACGTGGTCCCTTGCCAGCAGGATATGTTCTTTGTAATTGAAATGATCCATCATCAGTACCAAGTAGTACACTAATAGTGTTATCATTGTAATTTGTTACGATAAGATCTAACGTATGATTGTTACTGAAGTAACCTGTTGTCACCGATCGTGGTCTTTTACCAACTGTATAAGTTGTTTGAGTTAGAAATGCTGCATTTCCATTACCATAAAGTATACTGATAGTTTTATCAATCTGATTAGTTACGGCCAGATCAATATTTTGATCATGGTCGAAATCTGCTGCTATCATAGAGAGTGGAGTGAGACCAGTAACAAGTGTTATTTGACTCGGAAATGTTCCTTGACCATTTCCATAAAATAGATCAATACTTTGATCAACTTGGTTAAGTACGGCTAGATCTACTTTATTATCATTGTTGAAGTCACCAGATAGTACATATATTGGACTTTGACCAGTTTCAGAACTCATAGACAAAGGATTAGGATCGGTACATCGATAAGCTATAAATACAACGATTAAAAATTATTAGAATAGATTATCGATACAAGATTAATATAAACGAAATAAACAACGGAGCAAGCAATAGACTTTTTAAACATGCATTCACTAAAAACAAACCAACATCGATAATGCTTACTTGAAATTTAAAGATTTTTTTTCTAACACTTATTTTTAATCAACTTATTAAAACTAGTTGATTAAATTAACTTGTTAGAATTTTTTAATATGAACTTAAAGTTCAAACGAATGAAAAATTCATAATCATACCTGGTATTTTACTGCCAAATTGTGTTCCTAATACAGAACTGATAATGATTGCTGCAATAGAAAGTATTGCTATTAAACAAAGAGGTATAACGAATCGTTTCTTTCGATACCAATAGTATCTTAAAAATAAAATAAATATAAATAAAATGTTTGTTGAAAACCAAATGAAATTTACTTAGGTTTTGGATAGAGAAGTGCACCTAAACATAAGAATATTTAAATAGAAAAAAAATGATTACAAATTTATTATTTTACCTTCGAAAGGAGGTTCAAGTAGGACATCTTCTGGTATAACTTGTTTTAAATGGATGATATACAAATCAGTTGCCGGACTCAATTGTGATTGTACTATCATGCGTGTACCAGGTAAAAGAATGATTTCTTCTTCAGTGACAAAACATGAATGATCACGTACTCGTCGACCATTAATAGCTTCGACAGAAAAAAGTGTTCGAGCACCTGTATTGCCTAAGTACATATTACTTTCGAGTACAGTCAATTCAGTTGTACACGATGAAAATGCCCACCATGTTACTATCGTACCTGGTGGAAACTCTGCACTTAAATTTTTTGTAACTCCTCGCCAGATAGTCAATGGTGGAACACAAGGTAATTTAACTAGAGCTGTCACCAATAATTTAAGATATTTGAAATATGGTCGAAGATTTTCTCGACTCTCCTTTTTAAGAGTATGATTAAGTTCGGAATAGAGACTTCGATGTGGTTCTTCCCATTCCATCGTATAGAGACGAATGGCAGCACTCTCATCTATTGTTAATTCATTAGCTGGTTCTTCTGGAGTTTCATGGAGTGCTTTTTGAACATAGAATGATAAATCATAAATAATACTACATAACGATGCACATGCTTTAGCAAGCGGCAATAAACGTTCTTGAGCATATCCAATAATGGGATCACTATCTAGTTTATCAATATTGATAGTTTTTGTCAATTTTCGATTGTGTGCTGAATGAGTTTTGTCCACCATGCGTTCATTATGTTGTTTACAATTGATATTTGTTTTATCAGCAACTTTTTCTGTCTGTGCTATTAGATCTCTATTTATGTCTTCGTAGTCGTTCAATTTATATATTGGTTCATTTTCGATTTTTGTGTCATCGAACTTGACATCTTGTCGATCATTTGATTTTGAATCTTCAAGTACGATTATTGAGTGTTGACTTTGAACGTCAATATTTTCTCGAATTATGCTGCTTTCATCGTCCGTTGATTCAATGTCTAACACAACTGCCATCAAATGACGGTGATTGTCAATATCATTTATTGTCATATTGCTTGTCTCATATGAATCTTTGCTTTGATTTGATTCAATTGATTTACACTGAAGAAATTAGAAATCTTTTATTGTTAATATAGATGAAAATTATTTCCTTTTGCACAGATAAATAATCTTTTATTATCATATATGTCTCTTCAAGATTAGTCATCTACGCATAATTTCAATCAAGAGTTGGTACATCTTTCATTTCTATCTATATGAAATAGTCTAAGAAGGCTGAGAGATAGCTCATAGGATATTCTACGTGAAAAAACTTGACTTCAAGTAAAATCTAACTTAAAAGACGTTTAGTATAGAGATTGTTATATGCCAACTTTAAATCAAATATTTAAATAGAAAAAGTTTTTTTGATTATGATTCTAGGCTATAATCCATGTAAATATAAATCAAGATAAAACGGAATTTTAATCGATTTTTTTGTGGTTAAAAATCGATTAAAATGAGACGATTTTAATCAGATTCCTTGAATTTTCATCAGATTTTAATCGCGTTAACGAAAAACTGCGTTTTTCTCGACCTTTAGCCCAGAAATCATAGCTTTTTATCGCTTTATCTGACTGCTCGTATCGACAAATAGTAGACACAACATCAAACCAACCTCTGACAGACATCGCTGAATTCGTGAGATAATAACGATCTGTGCTTACGCATTCTTTGGTTATCGTGATTAAAAAGGGTATCTTCCCGTTTCTTCGACACGTTATTAACTAGTTCTTTTCATCGACACTTTTTTTAATCCCGTTTCATCGACAAAAATTTTTTCCCTTTTCATCGACACTTTTTCTCTGTACAATATCAGCATTGTATCAAAGAAGCCTTGCTTTCGAGAAAGAAATAAACTAAACAATGATTACGTTACGAATCATTAACATAAGCGATTGTTATGATCAGTAGAGAGATCAGTAGGAAGGGAAACGTGGATTGAATTCGTGAACTTAACTATGCTTCACGATCAAGAAAGTTGAAAACAGCAGCAAACCTTTTCGAAGTGAAAAAAGTTACTTATCAAAGTCAAGAAACTCTTTAATAAACACAGCATCATGAAAAAGATTCTTTATCATTTAAATAATATTTCAATAAAATTTGTAAAGCAAATAGTAGAAAATCAAAATAATATTCTTGTACTATAATTTTATAAACTATTGAATTAGTTTTTCATTTCTGTAGTTACAACTGTTTTCTGTAAGATCATATTTTTTTCTGTCTGCACTACTTTTGAATAAAATGTCGATGAAACGGGATAAAAAAAAATAGCGTCGATGAAGAGGGAAAATTAATTAATTATTCTTAACTTGTCGATGAAATGGGACCAAACCATTAAAAAGGATTTAAAATTAAGTAATCAATTAAAATTCATTAAAACAAGAATAATCAATTATAATCGATTAAAATTGATTAAAATTCAAGGAATCTGATTAAAATCGTCTCATTTTAATCGATTTTTAATCACAAAAAAATTGATTAAAATCCCGTTTTTTCTTAATTTATTTTTACATGGGAACTGGGGCAAATTTGAGATAAAAAAAAACGAGCTTTTACGTCAGGATATAGTAAAATAAAAGCCAACGTTTTCTATAAAGATACACTATTATTCATATGCTTAAAATCTTTTGTTTTCATATCGGAAATAAAGACCCATTCAATAAAAACTTATTCATTTCATTCTCTGAAACGCAATTCTCAGGAGAATCTATTTGAACTGATATAACTGAGTCACTATTCGACTTAATCTATTCTTTTTAACACATTCGACCCGATTCGATTTTCTTAGAAAATTTTTTTGAGATATTCATTTTCATGGACAGTTAACTACTAATAAATATATTTAATGATCTTTTCGTTATCTTCTGTTGATTATTTGTCATTCTCTTCTTTATATCACTACATAATGAGTCATTTTTTTCTGACCAACTGAATAATCGCTCAAGTTACTTTTTCATATTATACGAAGCATACAAACTCGCTGATCACAAGCTCGAAGAAAAAGAAGGAACTACGTGCAATGTCGGCAGACGATGCACTGGCTGCTATGCGAAGGGACAAGCCCAACAGTGAAGAGAAGCCAGCCGTTCGGCAGCAAAGAAAGTAAAAACTTTCTGTGCTGACTCTGATAAATTTTTTTGTCTTGAGTGTTTTAATGATAAGCATTATGCTATGGAGTAAACAACTCAAATAAAGTACTAAAGGCAGCACAGTTGACTCCTTATATTTAGCCTCCTACTTAAGAAAAAAGCAAAAGAAAATGCTTTTCTATACAGTTTCTCGTTAAACTATAGCGTAACCCACCGGTGGGCTACATCAGGTCGAATGTGTTAATAGTTTGGTTATAGCTTCTAATAAAAATAATAGTCGAAAATATAGAAAATTCAACTATGTAGAGAAATGAATGCAACAACAACAACGTAATTATCTTCTTATTATGAAACAAAAAAGCGATCATTTTGTGAACTAATGTTACCAACTGTAACCATTCAATCGAGATCAACGTCTGCTCAACGATTGAGTCATTAAACATTTACAGGGTGTTGCAAAACCTTTGCGCCCTCTAGGTTTGATCGTGAGATAAAATGATTTCACTAAGTATTTTATACCAAATTGAAGCCCGTAAAAAACTGCATCTATTGATACTAAATAGTAAAGGTTATGAAGATCTTTTAATGTCGAACTTTCGAGATTTTCAGAAATTTGACATCTTTTTTCATGTAGAAAAGTAAGGTGCGAATAATTCGAAAAACGAAATAAAACGTTTTTTCTTAGATATATTAACATGATTCGATAGATCTCGACAAGCTCTACAAAATTAAATATTTCGAAAAAATACTTTAAGCTATCTTTTTGTGATAAAAGTTAAAAAAAACTACACGAAAAATCTCAAAAAATTCAATTTTATCAATAACATCAGTTTTTTTTTCATTAGTTATGTTAGCTCAGACAACATTTTGAAATATGTTCATTCGATGTCGCGTGAAAAATTGCACCGAATGAGCATATTTTGAAATGTCTGAGACAGCAAAAATAATGAATAAAACTTAATTTTATTGAAAAATCGAGTATTTTTCTTCTATATGAAAAAAGTAAAGTTTTCAAATATTTTTTTGTGATTTTCCAAGCAGTTTTTGAACTTTTTACCTGGAAAAGATGGCTCAAAATATTTTTCGAAATATTTAGTTTTGTAGAGCTTGTCGAGATCTATCGAATCATGTTAATATATCTAAGAAAAAACGTTTTATTTCGTTTTTCGAATTATTGGCACCTTACTTTTCTACATGAAAAAAGATGTCAAATTTCTGAAAATCTCGAAAGTTCGACATTAAAAGATCTTCATAACCTTTACTATTTAGTATTCATAGATGCAGTTTTTTACGGGCTTCAATTTGGTATAAAATACTTAGTGAAATCATTTTATCTCACGGTCGAACCAGGGGGCGCGCGCAAAGGTTTTGTAACACCCTATACATCATCTCATTATTATTTAAAATCGTCCTTATAATCAAATATATCGCAAAACAAAACAAGCATGATAAACATTCTTAACAATACAATGAATATGTGATTACTTTTCACAATATTCTTTTAAAACAAATGGATCGAATAATCAGTGAAAATCTTAATAAAGCAGAAAAGTCATCAATGAATAAAACAATTTATCTTATTTTTGTAACCATTAACAATTAACATAATTAAACTTAAAACAAAAATGATTCTATCAAACTAAGTAATACGTTTTATTATCATGGTGGAAACAATGAATTGTAATTGGAGTTAAAGTAAATTAAAAGTTAAAGGATAAGAAAACAGTAAAATTAATAAAACCAGTCGGTAACAGAGACTTATTGTGAAAAACTAAGGAAATAAATAAATAAAGTGAGTAGATATTTCAGTAATAATCAACAACAACGATAGATTTTGAAAATCTTACGAACATATGAAGCCTTATTTGATATCAGCGACCTATTAACAATGGATATAATTATAAAAAATGCTGATGATACTGGTACATATTGTTTCAGTCATCTTTAACTATGTAGAAAGTCTAGCAAAGACGTCACTTGCTGTACACATTGTACCAGGAACTGATGATATTTATAACAAATTAAAACTTAGGCCTAATTAGATACAAACTTCTAAGAAATTAAAAAGCTTATAATACGATTAGTCAACCATTGAACAATAATAGGATACGATCACAAAAACAATCGAAAAATCCGAGAAATATTTTCGTGAACAAGACTAAATTCGCAATTTTTCATAAATCATTAGTTTATTTATTTACAGAAAGAACAAATAAATAAAACCTCAGTATCTTTCAAGATTATCATTAGAGATAACCGAAGAAAATATTGCAGAAAGAATTCAATATGAACTAACTTAACGGGACTCCCCCCTTTCCCGACCTAAAAAAAAACTTTTTTTTCGATTTTCATTTCTAAAGATGTATCGAAGTGTCCTCTATCAAGTGTCGTAAGAATTATAACTATGTCAAGCCGTATAAGCACTGAAAAAGCTTAGTTTCGAGAACCCCTATCTTGAAAAAAAAAAACGTATATTTTTTTAGATGGCAATTTTGTAAGTTGATATTGTTTGTTAATCGTATAAATATTTCTTTATATGCGCATTTGATGCTCAATAAAAGATAACCTGTCATAATTCGGAATGAGCAAAAAAGAAAAAACATACATGCAAAATACTTTGTTTTGCGTTTTTCTCAAAATCTTTTTTTTAACAAAAGAAACGAAGTTTCCCTCCCCCCCCCCCCTCCTTTTCTTCTATACGGTATGTCCGATCGGGCTCAAATTTTTGTTTATGAGTACTTTAATCAAATTGTGGTGCGTGTTTTTTGTTTTTTCGTAAAAATGTTGTTCCTACGAAATTTCGCATCCCTTTAAAAATTAGTATTATTAAAAAAAATGTTTTTTGATGGTGCTTCGAGTATTTTGTTTCTCCTGAGCTCTAGGAACGATATTTTTAAAAGAAAACAAAAAACACGCACC